TTATAGCTTTCTTTTCTAATTGACCCAACAAGCTCCCCTTAAAAAGTAGTTGTCTTTTCTTGTCAATCTTCATTGGGAGCTTGGCTTCAGCATTAGTCTTCAAATTCTTCACAACTTCAAGATGAACTTGATGAATCTTCAATGAATGACTTCATCTTGAGCAATTGGGCTTTTCTTCTTGAGAATCTTCAGAGATAATATCAGAGAGAACTTCAGGACGCTTGATGTACTGATTCTTGAAAGATAGCGCTTTCAGCTTGAGAATCTTCAGAGATAATATCAGAGAGAACTAATCTTCTGGATCAATTCAGCAGGTGCATAGATGGCAACAAATTGATTGAGGAGGCTTCAATGCAATATGTCACATAATCTTCAAGTGCAACTTCACCTTGCTTCTGGGGTTGAAGGATTGAATGTTTAAAGAATAATCTTCATTTCTTGCTCCTTCGAATGAGAATTATTCGATGATCACGGATGAAGCCTTGGCTCAGAAAATCTCGATACAGTCTCCATGAGTCTCATCTACATCTGAATTCACTTTTCAAGACAAAACAAAACTAAAAGAAAACTTAGCACACAATATTTTTGTATTTTTCATATTTTCTGAAAATTAAAACAGTTTTTTGAACAAGAAATAAAACAAAAATAACACTATTTTTGGATTTTTTATTTTCTGATTTTTTTTTATTTTTTTTTGAATTTTCTGATTTTTTTGTTTAATTTTTTGTTTTTAAATTTTTTATTTATTTATTATTATTATTATTTTTAATATCTCCCCCTTAAATTTGTGCATAGAGGAAAACTTTGAACAAATTTAACCAAAAAAATATATTTTGGGATTAAAGTTGTGAGACACTCTTCACTTTGTTTATCATTACCTTCACCTTCATGAATAAATCTGGTCAATTGCCGGTATTGTGGTCCACTTAAACACGAAGGATATCGACAAATTTTTCCAAATGTATCATTCAGCTGATGACGACCACGGGTATTGTTGTCCACTTAAATTAAGCAGTGATATCTACAGACAACCTCTAAATGGTTCAATTTTAGTTGCACTAGAACAAGTTCCCCACTTCCCGATTTACCCTGATTATCAAGAACTTCCAAAGAACTCCTTACATTAGTTGAATAGACAATTATTAAGGAGGAAGTCTAATTTAAAAATAGATGCATATGTTGTGTCCCAGGTCGGATATCTTTCAATCAAGCAGAGGGGACAACATATGGCTAACAGAGATAGAGGGATTGAGAGGTAGAATGTTGCATATGTTGTGTCCCAGGTCGGATCTTCCGATCACGCAGAGGAAACAGCATATGGCTAACAGATAGAAAGAATTTCATAGATAAAGAGGTGCGTAGAATTAGAGTTGCATATGTTTCAATCCAGGTCGAATCTCTTCCAATCACGCAGAGAAAGCAACATATGACTGGCAGATAGAAAGTAAGAAAATAATTTCCTACAGACCTACTTTATCAGAACCCCCCAGTTGCCCTATCAGAACCAAATTTAAGGACATTAGTCTGTACATCAAGGAAAAGTTGAACCACAGTTCTAGATGCGTATTAATTTAGTGTATCCCGCGGGTTCCCGTGTTTATTTCACTGCTCAATCTACCCGAGCGTCGTATGGTCAGTCCAAACAATGCTATCTAAATACACGCTGTCAAATCCTTCGTGCCTACCAGCACATTGAACACAGAGTCTAGACAATTCAGATTCAGTCCCTTACACATGTTTTAGACTGCCCGTTATCACTTTATCTTGATATCACTTCCCAATAATACCTAATAACGAAAAACTATAAGAAAATAAAATATTGTCTTCAAAACGAATCAGTGTAAGATAAACTCAGGAGTATCGAGAAGAAAAATCAAACTGTAAGTCACCGATTGAATTTGCATCTAGAAGGTCTGAGAACAACACGCATAATCTCATAACAGATCCGAAAATTCTTCACATCGTTAAGCATAAACCCCATGTGTGATCCTTTCCTTTCTTCCTTTCCCACAAAAGGACACATACTCTCAAACAAAGGTCTGAATGTTGTACATTTGAGAGATGTCCCCTATCATGTGCCTGGAACAGCCACTATCAATAAACCGAAGTCTGTTGATATTCCTCCATAGCTGCTACAGCACAGAGCGGGATTAGTTGGTCTTTGGAACCCAGTCCATTTTGAAATTGGGTTGACCTTTGTGATCTGTTCAAGGAACTCTCTCCCATGACATATCATGTTTATCACAAACAGAAGATGAACAAATATTAGAGTCATTAGGTGATTTGGGAGATTGAACCTTTGGTACCCATCTGTAGTCGGGTTTAACCCATTGCTTGTTCGATCTGATGGGTGCCTTGCCTCTTGCTTTTGAACTTGAATTTGGCCGTTGAGATGACTTTGATTTTGGCTTCACGGGAGCATCTCTTAGATTTGGCTTCTTGGCTGGCATTCCCTTCTTGCCCTTGGGAGTTGATTTCATAGCCTTGGGAGTTGAACTCTTGTCGTTCGTGGCATTCCAGTCTCCATTGTCTCAACGTGACCTTGAGGGGTTTCTTTTGGAAAATCTCCCTCTTGGCGCGTTCTGCCACCCTTTTGCATAGTAGGGAACGTATGTGCGATTTGGACAATTTCGGGCAATGTGTCCAGGTGTTACACAGTGAAAACATGTATTTTTCTTCACTGGGAAGTTGTTTCTTCCTGCCCCTGGTGGCGTTCCCTTGCCTTTTTTAGATTTATTATTCTTAGCTTCTCCCTTTCTCTTTCCACATGAGCAAGTTCATGATTCAGGTTGTGTGACAGGTGTAGGTGCAGTGAGTGTGCTATTAACAGAAACATTAAAATTATTAGACACATCACCACAAGCAACTTTTGAAGCATTAGAATTAGACACAGAATCATCACCAATCAAATCATCAGTTTTAGAAACAATGTTATATGAAACATAAACATCAGTTTTCAAAACAGAATTATTATTAGCACAATTCCCTCCAGACTCCTGCTTTCCCTGGCTTAAAGATGTATCTGCACGAGAAGTAGAAACGTTAGTATCCAAAATCCTAGCACTAGGTCCTGTTGCATGTTCGGCACCTGGTTTACTATAAACCATATAAGTTTCTCTGTCGATCTCTTCTTTTGTTAAAGGATTAACATAATACGAATGATTAAATGGAGGAGGGACACTCTCATATCCTATGCCTACTTGTTTCTGATCCTTCCATTTCATTTGATTTTCAATTATTGCTGCAACTCTTTCCCTTGACACATCAAATTTTTTGAAGTTAAAGTCAGCATTTGCAAAACGAGTCTTCAATGTGTCAAGTTCCGCAGTTACAATATCAAAATCTTTTCTAAGATATCTATAGTGAACACACTTGTCACTATAGTCTGCATGTAACTTCTTATAGTCATTAGTCTTGGCCTCTAATTCTTCTTTCAATGGTTTCTGGCCTTTCCTAAGTTGGTACCCCTCATATTTAAGTTCCTCATTTTCTATTTTTAATAAATCGATGTGTTCACGTAAATTTTTAACTGTTTTAATGCAAGTTTGAGAGCATGAAACTTCATTGACCGGAATGTTTGAGGAACTCATTGTTTAAAAATATGCCATTTGACTAAAAACTCAAAATTCAACCTTAAAAGTCAAATTTAAAAAATCAAACTTAAAACTCAAACTTAAAACTCAAACCGAAAACCTAAATTTTAAATTTTGATGGTTAAACGAGAAAGTCAAAGTTTAAAGTCAAAGATCAAACTTGAAAGTCAAAGTAAAAAAATTTAAGTCAAAAGTCAAAAATTAAAAACTAAAATTTTTGGAAGAAAATGGAATTTAAAATTAAAAGAAATTGATTTTTTGGGCTGAAAATGACAATATTGCGAAAATAAGAACCGAGAAAGGAGTCCTTTTGAATTAAATTTGGGAGGAGAAAACCATCTAGCAAGCTAGATCAGTTGGAAAGGTTGAGGGTTGATGAACCTGAGGATCCGGGTTCGATCCCTGGCAACCCCAAAACTCCCCCCCCCCTTTTTTTTTTTAAATGTACGCTGCGAGGACTCCTGCTGCCGAGAACGAAGCGAGAACCACTCCTGAGCCGTAAACTCCGAAGCCGGACACACGAGTCTGGCCGTACACGAAGACCGCAAACCCCCGAGCCGTAAACTTCCGTGAACCGTACAGGTGCGAGGATGCTGAGCCGTAAACCGAGGACCGTAAATCGAGCACCATAAACTGAGGCCGTAAACTATGAGGGTGTAAACTCACTTCGAACCGTAAACCCTTCTTGGGTCGTACACCCTTCAAGGGTCGTAAACCCTTAAACAGATGCGAAGAAAAACAACGTTTTTCACCCTTTTTGCTCCAAAACTCGATCAAAAACTCGTTTTTATGAAAAACGCGAAGAACAAACCCCCCTTATTTTGCCAAGATCTATCGAAAAATGCAGAAATCCTTCGAAAAATAAGATCAAATACACTCCAGATCTGACAAAAATGATTGATACAATCCAAGCTTGGATACCACTTGTAAGTCCCCAAACTGCTTGTGTATCAATCATACCCGTTTGATGGTGCGAAATCCCAATCAAACAGATGATGCCAGATCTAATGAAGAATAAGGAGAAGAGGAAGATGATGAATCTTGTATTATTTGATTAGATTGAAGATCCAAATACAAGATTCACACACAACTTACACACACTTAAGCTCCTCTCTCCTCTCTAACTTTCTCTCTCAACAATATGCTCTCACCTTCTCTAGCCTCTTTACTCTCACACACTCCTCACCCTATATATATGAGATAGTTGGCCGTACACACAACCGTAAACACATACATAGCCGTAAACACCGAGCTGTTTACGGTCCTAGACATAAAAATACAATTTCCTAGAAAAGAAAAGTATAAACCATATTTTAGACCTGATACACATGCCACAACTCATGCTATGCACATCCACTCTCCCACACGAATGTTTCCAATGGAGTTTCTTGTGTAAGATATTGGATTATGATTCTCCAATATGTGTATGAAAAGGGACGCATTTTGGTTCCCGCGGATCTTCAATCCGTTAATCCTGCTGTTGAAACTGGGGTATTGTTACCCAAAGGACTTGGAGGGACTTCTAAATGTGTAAAGAGTCCCAAGAAACCTTCAAAGGCTAAAAAACCTCAAGTTGTTCCTGAGCAGGTTGAGTCGGTTGTTACGAAACTTGTTCGTGAACAAGTTCATGAACCTAAAGAACCTGCAAAGGAAGTAGTGCCTTCGAAATCTGGTGTTCTCAAGCGATTGAAGAAAATTGAACATAGGCGTCGTCATTCACCCAATCGGCCTATTGTCGAAGGGGCTCTTGAGAAATCTATTACCTCACCCAAAGGTGTTTCAGTATCAAGTCACAAGAGGATTCTCAAACCTCAACTTATTCGAAAAGAGGTTACTATCAGTGAAATCACAGCCCATGTTTCTACGGCATCAAAGAAACGAAGAGCTCGGGATATGGTGAAAAATATCAAAAAGAAAGCGAAGGCATTAGAAGATCTTCTCGATGAAGTTGTTGTAGAGACTGATTTAGAAGGTAATGAATCTCCTATTTTACAAAGTGAGTTTGGCTTTGATTCACCTCAGAGGGACTCACCAGTCAAGTCGAATTTCTAGGCGACTGGTAGTCTTAGTGGATTTGTGAAAGCATCTTATATGGACACATCTACTAATCTGGGTGATTCATCTACTTTATCCGTTCGTTAGAAGACTTTGGTCATACCACCCAAAGTTTCGATTGCCAAGTCCAATATGGAGGAGGTTCGAACTTCAGACATCACTGTGGACATATCTAATATGGACACAAATGTCAACATGGGTGAAGGAATGTCAACACACGAAGCCCATGGTATTTTAAATGCTTCTACTTCATATGTTCCCACTTCTATCATTACTTCTTCTACATTCGAAACCATAGTTAAGGATACTTCTACTTTGTTACCACCATTTCACACACCAACTCCTACATCATTACCTAATTCTACTACTTCACTCACTTATTAGCATATTCTCAATCAACCAATCACCTTATTATTACCTTCATAGTCCACTGATGGTCCGAAATCTACTTTGGATGTTGGCACGATGATGATGATTATATGGTGTCTTTTGCTGACATCCAATTTGATACTGAACAGGAAAATGTTCCCGATCACATGATTATGTCTGGTAAGTGGTTCAAAATCCTTAATAGCAAGTTGAATTCTTTACTTCAACTTTAAACTGATGTTGGGGGTCAGAGTAGTGCAAGTGACATTGAGGTTGATGTTATGCTCAAAGCTCAAGGACTTCGTTTGCGCACCGTTATGGAGAAAATTCAAGAGAAACATGAAGAAAGGCTAAAACGTCAGTTTGATTCCTTTATTGATGTGGTCAAGGAATTCAAAGTTGTTGCTAAAGAAAGACATATCCTCTTTGTTGAAGGTGTTAAAAAGGTGAAAGAGGACTTAAATTCGAAGATTGAGGAGATTCGTTCTGAGATGGCACATGAGGTTGGGAAGCTTGCTCACAATTATTCAACTCTTACTACTAAGGTTGATATAATTGATGAGGCTGTTACAAAAGTAGTTGAATCCTACAATTCCCTTGTTACAAAAGTTGATACCAAGTCAACGTCTGATTCTGCAAGTTTTTCCAAGTTGGAGGAGTTACTGGGAGGTTTAAAGGAGTTGCTTTCGAAGCTTGGTTCTACTTCACAATCTCCGGTTTCTCAAGAATCATTATCAATAATGTTTTCTTCGTTAGAGTCCTATCTGAAGGCTGATCTTGATCCTCTTATGAAGCTTGTTGATTTGATGCCTACTGTTGCCCCACCTGTTTTCACAGGGGTGCAAGGGGGAGAAAAGGGTGTTGGTGCATCAAAGGATTCAGATCAAGTAAAAGTTGTTGGTAGAGTAATGAGCACACAGATTCATATTTCGATTCCCATGACCACGTCAAATACTTCAACCACCATAACTTCGAACCCTTTAACTATAGGTGTTGTTATTGGTTAATCTGCTGGTGGATCAAGTTCAAATCCACCTTCATCAAAAGAAGAAATGGATAGAAAACAAAAGGGTATTTTAACTGAACCAACTGCAAAAGAAAAGAAGATGGCTTTAGAAAAGAAAATGGAGAAGCAAAGACAAATTCAAAGTATTCTTCGACAAAGATATGGTGATCCTCCTGGTCTTGAGAATGGTGATCCTACAAATCCATACTGTTATGAAACAATTAAATCTTCAGTTTTCAGTGGTGTTATGCATGAATTTACCAAAGTTACCAAATAGAGCTTCGATACTGAAAACACCGACTTTAATCAGTTGGACTTCCCTATCAATGAGATGATGTTCATGTCATCTAAGTATCACATTGTCGATAAAATTGAAGATAAGGAAGAATATAAAGGGTTGAAGCTTAGATTTCATGTTGTTTTGGGCAAAAGAGAATAGGAAATATGGTCGTTGATGAAGATAGTGAGAGTTCTCGATATCTCAAAAGATTTTTTATTTCAACGGATATTGTAGAATTATCGATTCCATGTTGTTCGAGTTAACAATGTTGCATTCGATTTCTCCATAGCAGACTTTCCTTTGATGAATCTAAATGATCTCATCAGTGGTGCAAGGATCTTGAAAGGAGTGGATGTGTCGAAGCTCCAAATGACAAGTAAAGAAGACTTTCTGATTGGGTTCACACATATAAAACTCTTCATAGACAATTACTATGATTGTCTTGCTATGACAAATGTGGAACTTGCTGTTGCAATGGGTCGTCAAGTTACTGTGCCCCAATCTATGCTAAAGGGTAAAGGAGGTCTCAAAAATTTTGAATACGGAGAAATTCGTGTGAAGCCTATGGGTATTGTTTTTATTGGTAAGAATAAGAAAGGGAATAACACAAAGTTTATTTTTCAAGTTCGTGATGTGGAAAAGTACACCCCTTCATAATATACGAATCTTCTTGTTGGTATAAATATCTGCAAAAGGAATAACGATGGTGACAAAGCTAAGATTCGAAGAACGATTAATTGGTATTTAGAGATAAGAAGCGTTTTACATCAATCAACCAAGACGCTAATGACTTAGGATTCGACACTGCTCACAAAGGGGGAGAATGTTGGGGTCGAAGTATGTTGTGAGCTGTCGAAGGGTGTTGAGTCTGTCTTAGTATCGAAGTCTGTATTTTGGCTTTTGGTTGTATGTATTTCATAAAGGCTCTTTTGTATGTCAAAGCATAAGTGTTTAGCCTTTATGTATTTTATGTTACTTCTGAATTCCTATAAATAGGGATATATTGTAGAGTTAGAGTAACTTTTGAGTCTTCACTATTCTTACTCTAAAACTTTCTCTGTAACATTCAGAAGTATAATCGATCCATTCAGATCTTATTTACTATTTGTGTTCATAATTCAATCTAAGCTCTGATATCATTTCATAAACAGGATTATATAACAACTAAAGAATGGGAAGCTTATGCTTATGTGAGGTGATAGTAAATGGGAAGTGGTGGTAATCTTGACAACTATTCGTTATCAATATCGAAGGAGGAGCGCATGTCTAATTATTTCCTAACTAAGTAGAGAAGATTTAATCCGAGATTCTCTACACAACTATTCATTATCAATAACAAATGTCCCATGCTGGTGATATCCTTATTTTTATTTTTATTTTAAAGAAAGTCAAAAACTCAAAAAGATTTTCTTTATTTTTTGTCTTTTATTTCTAAAAACCAAAAATCCAAAAACATTTTATTTAATTTTCTCTTTTAATTCTAAAATCAAAAATAGAAAAATATTTTCCTTATTTTTACGATTGGGAAGTCCATTATTACAATATGTTGCTCATAAGCATGCAAAAGTGAAGCTCAAACAAGGAACATGTAACATTCACAACTCATAACTATTTAGGTGTCCCTAGAAGCATGTTGTCTCATGGTGTCCAAAGCCTCACTGGCTCATTGTTTACGAAGCCTTAATGAAAATTTCCTCCTGAAAATTTCTTCCCAATAGGTTGTATTAACTATAATCCTCGAGCTATCTTTTTCTTTTCAATCTGAGTTAAGAGATGACTACCTAGTTACTATCATTCACACTAAAGTTCTTACACTTGCACACACAAAGACGCATATCCCAAGATATGCCTAGTAAAAAACAACTAGGTGTTCCATAACTTTGTATTAACGATCCTAAATCATTTTTCCATGATGAGGGTGAGACCCAACAAATTTTAAACCTATGGAATTGACGGTGAACAATTTTATTGTTTAAGATTTTAACGAAAACTTATTTTTCACTATACTATTTAAAATGTTAAAAATCTTTTTTTCATTTCTTTTGTGAGATCTTAATGAAATGCACTAATCCCAAGTCATTTCTTCCCAATAGATCCAAACTTTTTAATTTTCTTATGAAATGAGATTTTCATCTGAACATTTACTTAGATCTTTAGCCACTTTAAAATTCCTCAATGCTTACTTATTGTTGATTACAATGATGACACAGGTATTTTCTTACAAGGATTCACTCGTATGCTAGTTAAAAGAGGCCCTTCGATACTTCTCAATAAGTAATTGATTGTAATTCATGCAAAAACACACAACAACTTGGTATCTCTCTTGATGTTAAAGGAAGAGTATATTTTCCCTGGATCTTACTGTTTTTATATCAAAGTTTATTTGGTATCACAGTGTCCAAAATTTTCTTATTTTGTTTCTGTCTTTTCATTAGGTACACAAAAGCACTGAAATCATCAAGGTTTTAGGTATTGCCAACTCAGACCAAGATTTCAAAAAGTCTGGCTTATGATTTCATTTATTATTCCCATAAGTGAATGAGGCCCAACTTTAGCTTATGAAGTTTGGCTCTTGGTTCCTAACGAAACTTTATCACTGTTCCATTATGTTGGTAATAACGATATATCCGTTGGATGTGACGTTCCAGTTGATTTCCCATGGATCGAGAAAAAGTGTTCATCATTTTTACTCGTGGCATATGGGGGGGGGGGGAAATCTCATTTCAATTACTTAATTTTCACGTGGCACTGACTGATTGGATTGTCGTTTGAATTTGAATTTAACGTAGGTTATAAAAGGATACGTGATCATTAAAATTCATCTTTCTGATTCTCGCGATTCGCGCAAGAACCCTAACCCTAATTTTCAATCAAATTCAAAATTTTCTCTATCACCATGTTTACTGCCAACACTGTTGTTGATCAATTCAACACCAACGACGACAAAGTTTCTATGCCACAGATGAAGATTCAATCCAAAAACTTTTGGTTCAATCTGATTGTTGACGAGTATCCAGATGAATTGAAGACGTTGGTTAAAATTATGAAAGATTCCTGTCTCGCACATGCTCTATAAGCCTCGTTTCCTATTCCAAGGAAATGGTTATCACTTTCTAGTTCTACAACCATGTATAACAAGTCGGCAGACATCACCACATTCCATATGGATTCACAAAAGACTAAGAGGTTGGATAAGAAGAAAATCACACAAATTCTTCAACTACCATCTGAAGGATGGTTTGAAACTCCCACGAATGAACAGGTACTCTAGATGTTCAACGAAATGGGGTATTAGATTCTGATTACCCTTGTAAATAGTTTCAAGAAGTCGAGTCTTCCTGG